AGCGTGTCCCGCCGGGTTCCCGCCTTCCCCCTGCCGGTAAAGGCCCGGGCAGGCGCTCTGCTGCGGAGCCCCCAGCCCGGCGCCTCAGCGTGCGGGGACACCGCGGTTCTCATGAAACGCACCCTCGTTCGGTGCCATTTTACCTCTCTGCGTTTCTGCTTTTTCTCGTTACCTCTCCTGCTCCAAACCTATTACGCAGGTTGCTTTCTGCCTTGGCCGCTCTGCAGCTCTGTGTGTACTGAGCTCTTAGAGGTTTTAGCTTTGTTTCTCTGCGTGCTCCCGTTTGTGCACAGAAGAGCTTTGAGCAACATCCTCTCTCCAGCATAGCTCACAAAACAGCAGCCAGCTGTTGCACAGGGACCTCACGGATAAGGATGTAGTCACGCTGTTCCTTCTGCTTAACTGTGTTTTCAGTCAGGGACCTGCACGTGGACTGTTGTGATAGGAGTTCTGGTCTATTCCTGAATCCAGTTCCAGTCTAATGTGCTGTTTCTATTGTTAGATTATCTAGAAGGAAGAATAGCAGTCTCAAACTGGTACCCTCCCCACGACGTTCTCAACGACTCCAAAATAAAGAAAACCTGGAACTAATCAAGGCTGAGATCAAACAAGTGTCTCCGCCTCAGCGTGTGACAAGATCCCAGACTGCAACATCTCGTAAAAGCTTAGAGACCCTTCCTGTCCAGCAAGTAGGAGGGAAGGTTCCCTTAGCAGAAGCTGATGTCAGTGATCGCATTAGCAGCGAGCTACACCTCCAGAAGAGCGCATCTAAACCAGCAGAGAAGCTCTCCTCGACCATCCTCTTGAGCTCAGATGATGACTCTCCCAAGGAAAGCAGGGTTGCCAAATCACCGCCTGCACCTGCAGCCTTTGAGCTGATGGTCCCCCATACCCCCGAGGCAAATGATGCAGGAGAAGGCGAGGCTGCATCTGAGCTGCAGACAGCAAAGGCAGCTAATACTACAGTTATTTTAAGTGAAGAGCCTAGGCTGGAGGAGGGAGATGGCTCTGCTCAGGTACAAGAGGGGTCTGATAAGGAGCCTGCCCAGTGCATACGGGATAGCCCAGGGACTCCCACAGGCTCTCGGCTGAGCCGTCGCTCAGTGCGCAGAAGTCTGATGGGTAAAACTTCCATGACTCGCAGAACCTCCTTGGCAGAGAAGTACTCGCTAGCCAGCAGGAGGGAAAATATGATCCGAAAGTCTATCACCAGGGCAATGGTCAAGAGGAAGGCAGCTCGGAAGTCATCTGTGTCCTCCAGTTACGTGGATGGTAAGTTTGAATGTCACCAGATGAGTTTGCTTTGCACCTTTCCTCCTCTTTCTGTTGATCTACTGCTTTTCACTGCTGAAGGAAAACAACGTTATGGGGCTAGTTCTTCAGTTTGGGTGCAGCAGCTGACCTTCCTAGGCTCGGCAAGCTGCAACTGAGCACGGATGTGGTAACGGGCTTTCTAGAGAGGTGTGTGCATAGAGAAACCCAGGTAACTGTGCTACTTCGTGTCCTGTGGATCCGGCCTTGTAAAAATCACCTGGGAGAACAGCCTTAAGGTCTTCTGGGTTTCTGTGGTGGTAGGTGGCCGTGCTGAGGAGCAAGCTGGTGAACAGGCTTTGCTGCTGCTGGTGGCTGCTTAAAAGGGTTATGGGCTCTCACGAAAGCCTGTGTGTGTTGTGGGAAATGAGGTAGCTATCATAAATTCACTGCTCTTTAAACAGAAGCTGGCTGCTAGTTCTAGAGCTTCTCTTTTCAGAAGGGAATTTTGAGGGTGAACTTTGTAAATTTCTTGAAAGTCTTCCAAACTTTTACAGTTTGCAATAGAGGCGGGTTTCAGGGAAGGATAAACTGATTTAAATGTTCTTCTGTGATACTGGAGTGCAAGCGTTGGATGTGCTGCAGGAGAACAAAGTGATGGATATCAAGCTGATGGATAGAAGTGGCTAGTAAGTGGTGGACTAGTAAATGGCTCCTGAAATGCAGGTGATGCAAGAGAACCTCTTCCATGCAATTCGATGTTGAGGAGAGCTTGGCTCTTTTGCACAGCACGCTTTGTTTGAAGGAGAACTAACATAGCTGAAATAATGTTACTGTAATGTAGTCATCTGCAGTGTCCTAGCTTTGTGGGATTTGTGCTGTATAAAACTGACTTTCCTTGAAGAGTTATACTGTTTTTGCTGTAGAAGGATATATTTGGAGAAGTGCTTTAGTGTTTTTTGTTCCATACCAAAGTAACTGTTCTAGATGAACTTTTTTCCAGAACCGGAGCAGTGCAGTCCCCAGGACAAGGTTTCCCGTGCTGGTACCAGTGTAGCGTGGAGCGCTGTCTGCATGGAAGTTTCTAAGCACAGTGTTGAGGGCTCCCTCAGTAAAAATGGAACCGCAGGGAAATTTTCTTGTCTGTAACATTGAAGAGGCACTGAAGTAGCTTTATTTACCCAGTTTAAGTGATCAGTCTGTATTGTCTGAATCTGGATTACCTGGGAGGTTTAAGGAAGGCTTTATTTTTTCCCTCTGCGCTACTTGATGTGACTGTTCTTCTGCCTAGTCAAAATTTCCGGGTGTAAGGAGAGGAAGGGAGATGTTTCAGGCAGCTCCGGTTGAGCTGGTTAATGTCCAAAAGCCCAAAGGACATTAATCGACTGCAGAGTGTGTCTGCTGTGCTTCCGATGCACCAGATCTTGCACTTGATACATGTACAGCACGTGTGCTCGTGCTTCCTTGGGTGAATTCAGTGATGGAAGTATGGGAGCAGACTGCGTGCTCTCATACGCAAAGCCTGCCCTTGTGCACTCCCCTCAGGCTGAAGCTGCATCGCCTTCTTAATTATTAACAGCAGTTTCCGGCTGTGCTGGTACTTAAAAGCTAGCTACCACCGAGCCAGCTGGAACGCTTAGCAGGAAGGAGCACTCGGACTGTAAATAACGCTGGTTTTAACCGCTGCTAATATCTGGACATGGCCCTGCAAAATGAGTCTGAGCCCAAACTCGTAATGGAAGCTCATTGAATATCACTTTGAACTCATCTATAATTGAAAGCATCCGTTGTCTTATATTAAAATTGCAGGCAGCATTTTCTTGAGTGCTACTTGGGTTTCTTCAGCGGCCTGTACTTGTAGCGGCACGCGTTTGGATTGCAGGCAGTGCCCAGGAGGCAGAGCAGATGCCTCTAAACAGCCTTGAGTGAACATTGCTCCTACAAGGAGCCTTGGCCCGTACCCCTGCGTTACAGCTCTGGCATTTTTGTCTTTTCCTGCAGTCTCCAGCTCTGCAGAGGTGCCAGAGGATGAAGAAACTGTTGTCAAAACTGGGTGAGACTACTTTAAGATAACTCTTTATCCTCAATGTCGAGCTTGGTCAACTTTTTTACAGTGACATTCTTGGTATAAAATGCACTGCTTGCACATAACAAGTGGCTTCCCAGTTTCCTTGATGTTACTAAACACGGCTGCCTTTTCTCTTTGTTTTTTTTCCAGGCCTCCTCCTGGACCTTGTACCCCCTCCAAGTTGGTAAGATTTGAGCAGAGACTAAAATCGTTTCTGTTCGTGTGGACTCGCGAGCAAAATGCGTTGAATACACCTCCCATTTGTTACCGGGGAATTAGGGAGCTCTGGCCACAGACCCCCGACTCGGTCAGCCTGCCCCGTTGCACCTGAGTAAAGGCGGCTCCCGTACATGCAGGAGCCTGTCCGTAGCCCCCCTGGTTCCCATACACAGACGAGAGAAAGTCTCAGATTGTCCAGTCTGTTTAATCGCAACGTTCCAAAATCGGCAAAACAAAAACCAGTCAAATTTTATTTGGAAAATGAGCACATGTGACCCAAGGCTTATTTTGGATGCAAGTAG